ATGATGTCAGTCACTCCGGTTCTTCTCCTGATGTCTTCGTTTGTTATTCTGTCTCGGAGAGTTATTCCTAACATGGACCGCTCCATTCTTCTCTGCGTGACTCTCAGTTTGGTAGCTGCTGCTTTTGTTAAGGTAAGTGTTTCTGCTCCGTACGTCAAGACTGGGAGGACGCACTGATCAAATACCTTTCTCTTTAGGCATGTGGGCAGCTCACTTTTAAAAGTTTCTCTCAGTTTCCCAAATGCTGCCCACCCAAGGACGACTCTTCTCTTCAGTTCATGGGTCTGGTTATCTCTGCCAATCATAATTTCATGTCCCAGGTATTTATATCTATCTACGAGTTCTCTTTCTTTCCCACCAATACTGATGTTCTGGTTGGGCACCATATTTGTCATGATTTTTGTTTTCGAGATATTTATATTTAAACCTATATTTTCTGTAGTCACAACGAGTTCCTGTACCATCTCTCTTGCCATACCTAGATCTTCAGCTATTATAAGTATATCATCGGCGAAACGTAAGTTGTTTAGATATTTTTCATCTATTTTTATTCCCTTTGTCATCCAATCCAAATTATTAAAAGCATGTTCTAGCACCGTATTAAAAAATTTAGGTGACATTGGGTCTCCTTGTCTAACCCCCCGTTCTTGGGGGGTATTGTATAATAATTTAGTATATCTATAATCTAGCCTGCATTCTTTAAGCGCCTGTAATATTTTGCTTAGCTCAACTATGTCAAAGGCTTTGTGAAAATCGATAAATATTAGAACTAGAGGTTTATTGTATTCCACTGCTTCCTCTATTCTCTTCTGTGTAGTCTTAACTGGCTTCTACCAGCCAGTCAGCGATTTTTTGTAAATTCTCAAGATATTCCGCTATTAGGATAGTGTCATCTGAGAACCGTTTATTATTGATTGATCGTCCATTAACTTTTATTTCTGTATATATTTCTTCTAATACTTCCTGAATTGTTTCTTCTGTGTAGTCTTAATTGGTTTCTAACAGCCAGTCAGTGATTTTTTGCAAATCCTTAATATTTATATTTGATATATTTTGCTGTATTGTCGAAAGATCGCTAGAGAAAAAAGAAAGCATGTTCAACTCTCTTTCTTGATGCTGCACAGGCTTCCAGTAAAGTCTGACATGAAGGTTTAATAGATAAATTAAAAAGTTTTTTGCCCAAACACTACTCACGACTTTTACTGTCATACATAAATGAACGGCATTTTAGAATTAAAAAGGACGACTATTTTTCAGAGACTTAAAAGATATCAGAGCAGTTGTTCCACAAGGCAGTGTGTTGGGTTTGGTCCTATATTTCCTATACATGTGTGATATACCTGTACTGAAGACAATATAGTTATCACCTTTGTTAATGATACGGCTATCCAAGCGGTAGAGGGACTAGTGAAGAGGCGACCAACAAGGTCCAAATATAAGTTAACCAAATTCACAATTGGAAAAAAAGAGTAATCAACAATATCCAAGTACCATATGCAGATACTGCTAGGTATTTAGGTATAAGAGATGTCAAACTACGCTAGGAAGGCACGTCAAGAAAAAAAGGAAGAACTATATATAAACAATGTATTGGTTAGTTAGAAGAAACTCCGCTCTGTTTCTCCATAATAAGTTACTACTTTACAAACAAGTATTGTTTAACACGTTTAACAAGTATTGTTTATATATAACACGTCTCAAACAAGACAACACATATGTGGAAACCAAATTTAAAATAAACGAGAGCTTAAGGAAAGTCAAAGAAGATAATGCAGAAACTCTAACTATTGACCAAAAATGGGGAAAAATTCAACATGCCCTTGTCTCAGTTGGAAAAAAAACCTCAAACCACTTAAAGAAAAAACAAAACCTTGGATGACAGTAGAAATTCTTGAACTCATGGAAGAACAAAGAAAACATAAAGCAAAAGACCTGAATAAATACAAAGAAATTCAGAGAAACATCAGAAAGAAAATTCGAGAGGCAAAAGAGAGGTGGCTCTCCGATAGATGCAAGGAAATAAAGATCTGGATAAAAAGTACGATAGCTTTAATTTACTACGATAATTAATATCCTTAAAAATGATAAAGGGGATATTATTACTGATATGAAGGAGAGATTATGTCACTGGACCAATTACATTCAACAACTATTTAATGATGAAAGAGAAGAACTGTCATTAGAAATCACCGAGGATACTGGACCACCAATATTAAGAGAAGAAGTCATCTATGCCATCAAAAACACAAAAGAGGGTAAAGCTACTGGACCAGATGAGGTGCCCATCGAATTATTAAAACTCATCGATGAAGATGTTATTGATGTAATTGTTGAACTCTTTAATCTAATATATCAGACTGCCACAATCCCCAGATAATGGCTGCAATTCACCTTTGTAGCAATTCCCAAAAAACCAAGTTTAACAACTTGCTCAGACCACAGAACCATAGCTTTAATGAGTCACACACTTAAAACATTTTGGAAAATAATTCACAGCAGAATTGTTAAAACTCTTGAATATGAGATTAGTGACACACAATTTGGCTTTAGAAATGGTATGAGTACAAGAGATGCTTTGTTCGGCTTGAATGTGCTGGCTCAGAGATGCATGGACATGAATCAGGATATGTACTTATGTTTTGTAGACTTTGAAAAGGCATTTGATAAAGTTCAACATAAAAAGCTTGTAGATATATTAAAAAGCAAAAATATTGACAGTCGTGATCTGAAAATTATATCTAATTTATATTGGAATCAAACTGCCAAGGTAAGAGTTGACAGCCAGTACACCGAAAATATTAAAATACAGAGAGGAGTCCGCCAGGGTTGCGTGCTGTCCCACTACTTTTCAATGTCTACAGTGAAGCGGTATTTCAAGAAGCGCTCTCAGAATCAATAGAAGGTATATCTATCAATGGAGAAGTTTTGAATAACTTACGTTTTGCAGACGGTACAGTAATAATTACGGATAACAACAATGATTTACAGAACCTAATGCAACGCCTTAATGAACGCTATCATGAGTACGGACTGAAGATAAATTTAAAGAAAACTAAATGCATGATCATGACTAAATCTGCACATGCAAATATCCAATTGACTACTGAAGATACTGTAATTGAGAATGTTAATAACTATAAATATTTAGGAACATGGATAACATCAGATGTAGACCAAACCAAAGAAATTAAGACACGTATTGAAATAGCACGTACATCATTTATTAAACTTAAAAAGTTTCTTTGTTGTCGGGATATAAGGTTAGAACTACGCCTGAGAATGCTTCGATGTTACGTGTTCTCTACTCTTCTTATGGTCTGGAAGCTTGGACACTCAAAACAAGTTCATCTGAATAAGCTGACCGCCTTTGAATTTTGGTGTTACAGAAGAATCCTATGAATATCATGGATTCAAAGAATGTCAAACATGGAAGTAACTAGAAGGATAGGAAATGAGACAGGAAATAATATTAACTATTAAAAGACGAAAACTTGGGTACTTGGGACATGTGATGAGAGGGCAAAAATACGCATTATTACAACTTATTATGCAGGGCAAAATCCGAGGAAAGCGAAATGTGGGAAGACGAAGAATATCCTGGCTTAAGAACTTAAGGAAATGGTTTGAATGCAGTAGTGCAGAACTTTTTAGAGCGGCAGTCAACAGAGTCCGCATAGCCATGATGATTTCCAACCTTCGATAGAAGATGGAACTTAAAGAAGAAGAAGAAACAAGTATTGAGACCTGTATGGACTTATTGATGCCCACTACGCATAGTATGCTAGAAAAATCAATATAACAATAATACAAAGATTCCAGAACAAAATACTGCGAAACATTGTAGATACTTGGCACATGTCAAACATTGACCTCCATTAGCAGATAGGAATGGGTATATCATTGGGGACCAACTCATGCATGATTTGGCTCCACCTCGATACTACTGGGCCACTTAGGAACTTGAAAAGGACAAAGGCTTTTGAACTAGTTTAAGTTATAAGAGAAAAATCAAAGTATAGTGCTTGTGCGCGTGTTCATGTTTATGAATAGTGCACTATATTGTTAGTTTAGATAATAGACTCTTCATGGTAAGCTCTTTATTTTAAGGAACAGTACTAATTTTAATTGAAATTGCTCATTTATAACTAGATTTTAATTTTAATAACGATCATCGTACTGATGATTATTAAAAATCATATTTTGTTTCATCAAAACTCGTGACAACTTTGAACATTGAAATTGATTCTGTTTTTACCACTTTAATTAATGCATCATCAGGATTATGGTCATAAATTATTAGCAGAAAATTGAATATTGAAATGCATATAGAAAAATCCGCACAAAAATTATAATAAAACATTTGTGGGAAATGCGATATAATCAGTCAAATCGGAAACAGAAAATTATTGTTAGAATTTTATTCCTCTAAAAGCATTTAAAAAATATTAAATAAATTAGATTATTAGATATTATATTCATTTTTCAGGAATTTGCTTGATTAAATTAGTGGATAATAAACAATTTTTTGTTTTACTCGTAGACTGTCCTCCTGTTCAAATGTAAACATAGTTTTCAACCAATTAAGTATTCCTTCATAACAAAAAAAAACGGAATATATACAAATCGATTATCTGGACAAACGCTTTTATTGTAAAAATACGAACACGTTATATAAATCGACTTTTTAATGGAAGAATTAATTGTAAAGTAAACAAAGTGCATGGACACATATAATAGAGTATTCTACTATTATATTCAACAAAATTGTGTATTTTGCTAATAGACACATCATATATCTAAATTTTATTGATTATCAAAAAATTATTATAAAGTGGCAAATAAAAGTTTTATAAATTTTGATAAGATTTAAACTGAAGTTTAAAGTCATTAAAGTGCTTTAAAAGTTAAACCGTCGTTTCTTGTTGAAAATAAAAGAATCTGTAACTTTTCATAAAAAAAGGACAAATAGTTTATCCCAAACTGTAAATAAAATGACTTACCTTAAGTTTCAGTTGCTTTCTGACCTGGTACCCCCTAAACCCAGCTTGGATCTTTGTAGCCGCTTCTGCTTCCATGTTTTTTCCTGACGTGTCGATTTTTCGTCGTTTTTCACTTTCCATACTCTCTGACTGCGATAGACTGACATCGCTGCAGCCGCTACTTTCCGCCTTCGCTGGTAAGTCGACTTTTCCCGGATTCTGCGCATTCCTATCTTCTGCGTCGGCGTCTGAGGCGTCGGTGACGTCGGTCGTTGAAGGTGGACGGAGCGACGTCACGTTTTCGGCATCTGTTGCATAATGAAACATTGGACAAGTTGAAGGTGAGGATTATCGCGGTGAAAAATTGAAATGAACGAAAAAATAATGGATGTGTGTAGTTTTAATGATGCTCGCTATTATTACGTGGGTTATACCAATAATTTTATAAAATGCTATTGTTTTATGGAATAAAACTGCTGTTAATATTTCTTCAAAAAGTGTAAATTATTAGAATTAAAAAAATAAATCTTATTTTCTAGTTGTCTATTACATTTCTGGTACCTATATAAATAATATTGAAAAAAGCTAATCAAAGGAATGTCACACAACTTTCTATTGTTTGTTATTTGCATTATATTTTCCTTGTCTTTTTAGGTATTTTAATTTCTTTTTGATGTTTTAAGAATATTGCTAGACGTCTTATTTTTCTTCTAATGATCTACTTTACATATTCGTTAGGGTTGTGTTTTTATATTACTGAAATTTGTTAAATTTCCACAGCTTGCTGCTGGTGCAGCTTGATATATTGTTGGGTTTATTTTATCTGTGCTTAAAGTATACGAATAAAATCATCATTATCAGTGGTATTACAGCTCGTTATGAGCCAAAGCGTTTTTCAGAACAATCTTTCATTGGCTCCTGTCTCTGGCAACTCTTCTCCATGCTTTAACTCCGATGGATTTTAGATCATCCTCTATGTTATCTTGATACCTAAGTTTTGGTCTTCCTCTGGCTCGTCTTCCCACTGTCCTCTTTGGTCGAAAATTTTTCTAATCGTAGCATACGAGTAAAATAGAAAGGTTTTAATTCCAAATGAACTGAACGTACCCTATACACATGAGGGTTGTATACAAAAAATCTCGCTACCGCCTGGTTACCTAATAGTTTACCTAATAGCCTTGGGATTCTGTACTATAAACTAGAAATGTACATTTTAAATAAATATCATCACAAATCAGCAAAGACGTCAATGTTTATATTTGGGATACTTATGTGTAAGCAAATTGTCCCGTACGTCAAGGGTGAAATAGATTATGTAAACTGTAATTTAGAAATATATAACAATGGACCTTTAATGCGCTGCAAGACATAACAGAAAATCGTCACGTGTTGCAGATGAAACAACGTGGTATATTAACGGGAACTGGTAGGGTGGAACAAATAAGAAAGTAGTCCAGAAGACTGCGAAGAGTGGGGTGCGCTGGGAAAAGTAAGGTTTAGCATTGGGAACCTAAATTCGAAAGGAGGAGAGCCTTATATGGTATTCTGCAGTCGATGGTCCTCTACGCAGCACTAGTCTGGAGTCGTAAGTAAGAGATACAGGTCTAAAAGAGGCTCATGACACGAATGCGCAGAACAAGTGTGCTGCGAGTAGCATGCGCCAATAGGACTGTATCTGCGACAGCTTTGTGGTCTATCACTGGATGTGTTACTCTGCATCTCTTAGAATATGGTCGATTCTTCTTCTTAAGGTTCCATCTTCTAACGAAGGTTGGATATCAACATGGCAATTCTTATTTTACTTACAGCAGCTCTAAATAGTTGGCTAGAGCTCAGACCAAACCATTCCCTTAGATTTCGTAGCCAGGAGGTTCGTCTTCTTCCTACATCTCTTTTACCTTTTATTTTGCCCTCTATAATCAAACGTAGTAGCCCATAACGAGGACCTCTTAATATATGACGAAATATTTAAGTTTCCGCCTCTTAATTGTCTGTACAATTTCTTCCCTCTTATTAACCCTATCAAGGACTTCAATATTGGTAATTTTGTCTACCCATGCTATTCGTAGCATCCTTCGATAACACCAACGCTCAAAAGCTTCCAATTTCTTAATCTCCAGTTGTTTCAATGTCCATGCCTCAGATCCGTAGAGCAAAGTTGTAAAAATGTAGCAGCGCAATAACCTTATCCTTAGATCAATTCTTAGGTCTCTACTACACAATAGATGTTTCATTTTTACAAATTTTGCCCTTGCTATTTCTATACGGCTTTTAATCTCTTGCGTTCTTTCTGCGTTTTGACTAACCAATGTTCCTAGATATTTGTATTTATCTACCCTTTCTATCTGGATATTATTAATATGGAGTGTCCGTTGTCTTTTGGATGTTTTGTAATGACCATGAATTTTGTTTTCTTTAAGTTCATTTTAATACCATATATGGTACACTTTTCATTCAGCCGTTCCAGTATGTTTGTTAGACTTTGCAGAGTTGAAGTGAATATGACAGTATCATCGGCATATCTTATATTAAAAAACGGTTGTATCATCTGCAAAACATATACCCCTTAAGGTGTATATGTTTTGCAGATGATACAACCGTTATTAGTACCGACCAGAATCAATATAATTTAAATAACAAAATAGGAAACGATGTGCTTAAAATTAAAAACTGGTTTACACATAATAAACTAAAACTAAACGAGGATAAAAATCAAAATATAGTTTTCAGTTCAGATCGAAGACACATTTTTGGATATAGCATCAAATTGTTAGGGATTTTTATGGATGACAACTTAGATTGGGGCATCCATATAGACAACTTAAGTTCTAAACTCGCTAGTACAATATTTGTAATGCGTAACCTGGTTTATTTGGTACCTAAAAGTACCCTTAAAATGTGTTACTTTTCATTGTTTCATAGTCATATACAATATGGAATAGCTGTTTGGGGCAACTCTGGTCATGCCGACAGAATATTTAAATTACAAAAGAAGGTGGTGAGGATACTTGCTGGAGCGGATTTAAGGGATCATTGTAAACCATTATTTTTGAACATGGGTATTATGCCTCTACCTTCGCTTTATATGTATGCAACACTGTTGGAAATTCACGATAATAAAAATAAGTTTACTATAAACTCCCAATTACATGATCATCTAACAAGATCGAGGGATTTAATTAGGTCACAACGATTCAGACTATCAAAGAGCACAAAGAATTCAATTGATATTCACTTGTATAACTATCTGCCTAACGAAATAAAAATTCTGTCTCCACCACTGTTTAAAAATAGGATCAGAAAGCATTTTTTAACATTGTTTTTACTCAAAGACAGAATACCTCAATACACCTTTATAACGTATACCCAGTTTGGTCAGAATACTGTCGATTTACTATCTACATATCACATTGTATTATTGCTATTAAAGTTTTATGTATTAGTTTATTTAGTCATCGATTCGGGAATATTCTTAATTATTTGTACATTTTTGTTACTTCCATATTTCAAAGATTTTTTATGTGACAGTTTAGGTTTGTTTAATTTTAATTCTTCTGCTAATACTTACATATGTATATTACTTTAGCCAATATGGTTAAGTTAATTTTAAGTTTACATTATTATATCTTTTATTGTATTTTTTATACGGACTTCAAACGTTATGTAAAGTGGTCAATAAACGTTCTATCTATCTATCTATTATTAATAATTTCACCATTTATTATCATTCCATCGTTACACTCTCCTAAAGCTTCTTGGAAAATGGCTTCGCTATATATATTAAACAGCAGTGGTGACAATACACAGCCCTGTCTCACACCCCGAAGAATTTCTATTTCTTCCGACATTTGATTTTCAATTCTTATTGGTCGATAAAAGATAAGAAATCTCTTATCTTTTAGAATATGGTCGATAAAAGATAAGAAAGGAAAAGTTCAATTGAAAGATGGCAAAAAAAATGGAACAACACGAAGGATGTGGCACAGTGGACAAAGATGCTGATCTCAAACTAGAAGATTGGATGGACTGTATTCACAGACGACTGAATTATTTTCTAATACATATGATAAGGACTCGCGTGTTTTAGGGCATACATTTTTAGGTTCAGAAAGGCTGATGCGGATGAATGCCTATGCTTTGAACATCCAGACACTGTAACACATATGATATTGGAGTGCAACAGATGGGTCATAGAAAGGAGTAGAATAAAAAGATGGACAGGTGTGAACGAATCAACGACAAATCAAGGGGGAAAGATCTTGTAAGTTAAAGGTATACGGAATATATCTCGATAAAAGGAAAATAAGTAAGTCACACTGTGAGAAAGAAAGAAATGCCTGGGAGTCACGCAGTTTTAGGAGCGATTAGGGTATTCCACGTACCATCTGGCGCGGGGTTTCTCTCAAAAAAAAGTAGAAAGCTCAATTTTCGCAACCAAAAAAAGGCTCCATTTTCGAACCCTTGCTGGCAGTCTGTAGATAAGTGAAGGAAGGTTTCGGAAGTGATGCTCGGTTTTAAATCGGCTTTTCCGCTTCTGGAGCTGAATGACAGAGGAAGGTATGTTTTAGCAGGTAGGCATTCGACTCGTAGACAAGAGGGCGTTTTAAAGTACCTCAGAAACTATCGCTGGAACTACGAAAAATGAATCCTGCACTAAGGTCAATCAGGACTGGACTGAGATGTTTTTCAAAGATTTCAGACCCCTCTTTATACATACGAAAAAAAAAAGAAAAAAATGTGCCCAAGTAAACTTTACGAATTTTTAAATCTGGTACATTCAGTATACAAATAAATAAGACAACCCTAAATAAGACAACTAAATAAGACAAGAAAGCATTGTTTTGTATTTTGAAAACGATTTTCGAAGTCTAAATCAAAACGTCAAATAAACTTATTTTAAAGTAAATTATGGCTTATTCCCAATAGTATCTAAAATTTATTTTATTATTAGTAGTAATACTTTTTTGCTAAATAAACTACTATTAGTAAGTCAATAACGTGGACAGAACCCGTTACAAACAAAGCGGTTCTGGGAAGGATGAACAAAGAAATGGAAATTTTAAATACAATAAAAACCAGAAAAGTAGAATATCTTGGACATATTACACGTGGAGAGAAATACACCTTGCTCCAACTGATTATGCAGGGAAAGATCCAAGGAAAGAGAAGCATAGGGAGGCGTAGAATGTCATGGCTGCGCAACCTTAGAGAGTGGTACGGATGTACATCAAATGAACTTTTCAGAGCAGCCAGCCGTCTCAAAAGTCCGAATAGCTATGATGATTGATTGCCGACCTCCGCCGCGGAGATGGCACTTGAAGAAGAAGAAGAAGCATTTAAGCATTAAAGTATTTAAAGCACCTTGG